CAGCTGGAACTGTCCGCGTTGTTTCCGCACAACATAAAGTACACCAATCTGCGTTGCTACAGAAACAAGAAGGCAAATTGACCAAACCGTCAGATGGATACTTTTGATTACGGATTCAATAGCAGTCCATTTTAGAGAAGTTAACAAAACGTTCACAGTCCATATGATCAGGGCGTATCTAATTACACGCGTTGAAGAAAAGAACTCGTTGTATCTAGCACGCAGTCGAACAGCCACAAAGCGCTCATAGCTGACAGCGCTCAAAGTCATAAAAGATACTCCAAAGCAAATGAAAAAAGCCGAATTATAAACTATTCTCACAAAACAAGGAACTAATCGACGCTGGTTTTCCATTAACCTGTATGTGATATACCCAGGCTGGACTGTTAAAGCTACGAATACATCAGAAAGCGCTAGAGACGCTACCAACAGATTGGAGGGAATTCGTAGACGAGGACAGCTGAAGATGGCGGTGACAATCAGTAAATTTGCAATAACGCCGACTGGAGCTGTAACAGTGTTAATGATGGCTGTAGCAAGATTGACTGTAAACCGTTCATGAGTTTTATGGAAGGATGGATCACCAAGATGAAAACAGAAATTTTCTTGTTCGGAGCTATTACTCTCCATTTCACAGAGGCTACTTCCTATACTTTGACTTCTTCAATGAAGATCAAAACTGTAATGGCCTTATTGTATTCGAAACGTTTAAATGCATTAGTGCCCTGTTCCAAAGCAAATAACTGTAATGGCCATCCTAAGACAAGTCGGCAAGTACATTTTCAGTTTGATGTGAAGTTTTATTCAAAGAAAAAGAAATTAAATCAAATATGTAATTGCTGTTTAAGAAAGAGCCGGATATTTATTCAAAAAGGTTTTTAGAAACTCGCCAACCTAGACTGGCTTTATCGTGTCGCAATTGGAAAAGCTGTGGCTAATTTTGCGTCCGCAGCATTGCCCGTGTAAAGAAAGATTTGCAACATGCAAGAAAAGGAAAACATAGCCTTGGAACTGTTTTGTTTGAATTATTAAAATAAAAAACTTCAGAGCTGCTTAAAATCATAATGGCGATCTCAAGTTAAGTCCTGTTTCATAAGGATCAATGGCGTTAGGTTTCCGGAATTATGATGGTTAAGTCCTGTTTCATAAGGATCAATGGCGTTAGGTTTCCGGAATTATGATGGTTAAGTCCTGTTTCATAAGGATCAATGGCGTTAGGTTTCCGGAATTATGATGGTTCTTTTTGTTTCCATTTCTGTTATTTAATGACATACCTTCTATTATGACTAAGTGTTCGAAAGTTCCCGGACATTCAAAGTATCGTCATTCCACAAAATCCCCGTCCAGTCCCCAGTTAAATACGCTGTATTGCGGACCCAGTGCCCCGACCATTAACGCCTATTAATAGAGATGGCGTCGGAAGACGGATCAGGGCGTGATGTTAGGGAAGAACTGACACAAATTGTGAGAGAATTTGTTCGAAATGAGATCGCTCTTCAACAACCTTCTTCGCTTAATACATCTGGATGATCAACTTTTTCCTTACCTAATGATCAAATCAAAAATGAAAAATGCCTTTTATTCGGACTCGTATGGCACTCTAGACATAGCAAAGGAAGCAGAGTTGAATTATAAGTGGGTGAAAACGCAGCTGTCGAAAGTCGTTTGACAGTTTGTCACGAGGATAACTGGACTTCTGGTGATTTACATTCGCTGGAATACCGAATTCCAACTTAGGACAGCAGGAAAGTGTTCTGTGGAGCAACAGCAACGGCTAAAAGGGTTGTTGTTTAATCGGTTGATTCCAAGAGAACATGACTTTTTTCATATGGTCATGCCACTTTCCATATGGAAGTTTGACAACAGACCTTCCAGTTACTTGGATGCCAAATTTGAATTGAGACAGTACTAATAGGGGCAAACCATGGCTCGGTTCACTTAGAGCCGCACACAAAAAATGGTCAGAGAGGTGCTTAGAATATATCAATTTTGCTTTTCTGGATTGATATCGCACCAGATGAAGAAACGTTTGTGGCGTATTTCTTTAAGAAACGCAATGCAAAAACCCTCGAAGTGAGGAAGGAAAGCGAAAATATAAGAACAGCCTGTGTAAAAAGAAATAGGGTGCAAGTAATCCAATAACATTCTTACGGCAGCCAAAACTCAGTAAATCATCTTAGCTTCATTTGAGAATTATTTTAGCTTCATTTGGCTTTTTTCTTAGAACGAGGAAAGAATGTGGTGGAGTTTTTTTATCAACTTGCTAACCCGCTAGATATTTACACTATTCACCGACAGTCAGGTAAGCAATGGTTGAAGCAGCGAGAACTTCAATCAATCAGTTGAAAACGTTTATTACACGGAGAGTCAGTCTTGTTTTTAGTGCTTTTTCAATGTTATTTATTTTCGAACAATCTTCTCGAGGCAGTTGTGTTTTTGTGTAGGGTGGAGTCTGCAGCCGACAAACTTTCTAGCGAGATTAAAATTGTTGCAAATAACAGCAAGAGGATATTTTACTATATTGATTATGGCTGTTACAAGATTCATCGTATAACGCTCTGATACTTCGTGAAAAGAGGGATCGGGAAGGTGGTAATAAGATGACGCTAGACCTTCCATCGAAGAGTTGTAAGCTATGAGTTCTCTTAAAAATTTTCACTCGGAGTCGCAGATGGTACTGTATACTGATAAAGCTATATGAAAAATAAATGCACTAAAAAAAATGCCGATATTACGTTGAGAAGACTTTCAAAAATGAGGTCAAAGTAAATAAGTTTTATTGACTGAGCTAACAAAGACATTTCGCAGATAGGATGTTCCCCCGCACTTGCAATACCTGTCGCACTTTGCAATACCCATCGTACTTATTAATAACACTTTTCGCATTTTTTAAAGAAAGAGCTGTCGCGCGTTGTAATTTTCGACCATCTCGATTCGTAATACGATGAGCTGCAGCACTTTGTAAAAATACGTATCGCACTTTTTAATGCAAGATCTGTAAAAACAGACCAATCCAATTCGAGATACGATAGGCTGTCACACTTTGTAATAACACCTGCCGCGTATTATTATAGAAAAAAAAACACACAAGTACTATCTCACTCAAGAAGGAGGAAGAAGCACTTTGTCTTTTGTTTCCCCTTACTCTTAGTTCGCCCAGCTGACGCTTCTTTAACAGAAAAAAAGCACGGCAAGGCTTCTTTATTTGATAAGTGTCGTTTCGAGTTTCATCAGTCTCGAAAAAACTGATTGTGTGCGTTAGATTGACGTCCAAATTGAACCATACACGTTATCATCACCTGCCCTCGGAAAATTTAATGTAAAACCCAGATGCTCTCAACCTGGATTAAACAGAAAGAACCAGACTTTACAAGCGATAAATTGGGCCAATTCTTTATAGTCTGACCACTTTAGGTCGAGTGAAAGCACGTCATTGCCGGCATGGCGCTAAAAATAAAGGATACACATGTTTTGACTTTAACCAATGGGAATTAATAATCGGAGAGAATGACTATAAAAGATCCCCAAAAACGTAATGTCTCCTGACACACAAAAATAAAGATACTAGTCAGTTTACAGTCTGGCAGCAGTAAGTGATCATGAATTCGAACATTTCCTCTGATAAACCTTCTTGTTTTTATCTTCCTCATCTATTATTTGATCAAGTCTCGGAGCGATTTCTTGTAAACTGAATAACGGCCATCATCACCATCGTTACCACTCCAGTCGCCGTTGTCGCCAATGCACTGATTGTGATCGACATTTTGGACTGCCCTCGTTTACGAACTCCTTCCAATCTATTACTAGCGACTTTGGCGTTGTCAGATGCCTTTTTCGGCCTAACAGTCCAACCAGGTTATATAGCCTACAGACTTATGGAAAACCAACATCGTTCAGTTCCCTGTTCCGCAAGACTTATCTATAGCTCTCCATTCTACGTTTGTTTTGGTGTTTCTTTCATGACTTTAACCGCTAGCAGCTATGAGTGTCTTGTGGCTGCTCGTCTACGGGTAATGTACAACACGATGTTTAGTACGAGATGAGTACTGAGGTATGCCTTGGGGATATGGACGGTGAATATATTCTTGACTGCTCTGGAATCGGCTAAAATAGATAAAGCAATGAGAGGTATTCATCTAACTCTTTGGTTCCTTTGCCTTCTTGTCTCAATTGCGACCCAAACTGGCGCTTTAGTAGCTGTGCGAACACATCATCGACAAGTGCAAGATCAACTTCAGGCGAATGAAAAGATACAGAGACAAAGAGAAGTGACCTTAGCGAAACAGATATCGACTGTGGTTGCAGTCTACTTCATTTTTTTTAGTTTCCTGTCTTTTTTGTGACATTTTATCACCAGATATTGGGGGTAAACATACAAACGTACAACCACTACAGCTCGGCAGAAACCCTGGCTTTGCTGAACTCCTGCTTAAATTCCTTTATTGGTTGCTAGAAAAACAGAGAGATTCTTCAAAAGGTCAAAGATCTACTGAAGAAAATAGTTTGGCGGTGAAACGCTAAAATTAATTGTGTATGCTAATTTGCACAGTTATTATGATTGTCTTTCATTTTTCCCTGTGCTTTGTTAATATCTTGACTATTAATTTTGGGTTTCGAAGTCATAGTAGTAATTTTCAAAACTGCCAGCAAACGATGCCAAGATGCACGAGCTAGAATACAGAAGACTCTGTCAGGGTGTGTTACTAGGTGTTCAATTCCATTGTCACTTTCATGAAAACGATCATTCACTCGACTCAAGACGAATTCTATGCTGTGGCGTAAGTCGCTCTTCAAAGGATCCATTTCATTCGGCAGAGGGAAAATTATAGGTACCACATTAATGATTCGTGTAAGAGTGTATGGAATTAAGTAACTCTTCATGTAATTTAGTTTGAATAGTGCGCATGTGAAAGGATCCATTTCATTCGGAATCCGTCAAAGGATCCATTTCATTCGGAATCCGTCAAAGGATCCATTTCATTCGGCAGAGGGCAAATATTAGGTACCACATTAATGATTTGTGTAAGAGTGTATGGAATTAAGTAACTCTTCATGTAATTTAGTTTGAATATTGCGCATGTCTCAAGGCAGCCTGAGACTGCCAAATGTGATCTCAAAAAGCTCGAGAACAGGTTACAAGCCCATGAAACAGCCCGATGTGAGGATGACCAAAATGGCGGCGCCTCTTGCTCCCTCAATGCAGATGTGGAAAAGGGCTGGACTTCTTGGGCAAAGAATACGATGATCTCAGTGACTCAGATGCTAGCACCAAGAAAGAACTTTGTAGAATTGGAGCTAAACTAGATGAAATTGATGTGAGATTGGAGGAGATGGCTGGTATTCTCGACGAAATGCAAGAATATACTTATCCATTTAATGTCAAGTTGCTTGGGGTACCACAACTAAGTGCAGATGAGAATGCTGTGCAGACAAGCAACCTTTGCGTAAAAGATCTTCAATAAGATGAGCGCGAATGTATCGATAAACGACCTGGATAAACTACATAAACGACCTATCGCAAGTTGACTGGGCTCGAGTGGTTCCCGAAGTGGGAACAGACGTCGATAAACTCTTCTCTAGGTTTTACAACAAATTGAATAAACTAATGAATAAACATGTCCCTCTTAAAC